CACTTCCCAGGGCTTCTTCTTACAGCTCCTGAGACAGAACAATGGGGACAGCCCTATTCCACCTGGCCTGCTCCTCTGGGACCACACCTGCCTTCCTACAGAACACCCTAGACCTAGTTGGTCCACTCGCTCACTCATCAATGCCACTTACTGAGTGGGGACCAGATGGGGGCCAGGCTTGGGGCTGAACAGCTGCAGTGACTACCACATCCCTGCCCCCACTTATGAGTTACTGACACAGACTAGCAGGGAAGCTGACATTCACCAAATAAGTATACACACAATTAATTGAGTGCCTTTGTCCCAAGTGCTATTAAGAAGAAATACAGGGATCCAAGAGCTTGTGTAACAGGGATGGTGGGGGAGCTAATTTAGCTCAGGAATTGGGGCAAACTTGCCTAAGAAAGTGACTCCTGGGAACCTGATGGAATACACTTGAAGAACAGATAGATATAGATATAAATAGAGAATATTTATATTACTCGTTATAGTGTATGCTTCATTTATATAATAACATTATATGGTTTATAGTTTATATTATTTGTATTTTTATTGTTAATACTTCAGAAATAACAGAAGTAAAACCAAAGAATCACTGAGGCAGTAATTAGTAAAAGTTTATTGGGCACACACCAGAAAGACAGTTTGCAAACTGGGAGTGCTCAAACCAAAATGTGCAATGAAGCTCAGAGGTGTATTATTATAAAGCAACTTATATAATGAGAAAGCAGTGACGGCTAATTCTTCATGATGATTGGTTATAATATTGGAATTTTCAGTGGTTACCTTATATTAACCTTGGGAAACTTCAACGTTTGCTTATGATTTCCAGAGGCATAAGCAAGAAATGACCCAGGTCAAGTTAGTGTTGCAAAATAAGCTAAATTCAGCTTTGTTTATACGACTAAACTGGTTTTGTCTGCTCAGGGAATTTTTAAGGCTGGCCTCTGTTTGTTTTCTTAACATTGTATAATATGTTATTTTTGCTTCCCATGAGCACTTCACCTTACCATTTACAAAACGTTTGTCCATCCTTCTTGTCCTTGGCTCCTCACACAGCGCTTTGGAGGTGACAATCCAGAGACTACTCACCTGTTCAGTGGAAAGAGCTTGGGCTTTGGGGGTCAGACCATCCTGAGTCCTGATCTCAGATCCACTATGAACTCGCTGTGTGACCCTGTGCTCATCACTTTCCATCTCTGATTTTCAGTCTTCTTTGCAATCTTGTCCCCATGGGCCATACCAGTGGTCCCCATTCAGCCTATGAAATTCTGCAGGGAGATTCTCATCAGACAGCTACAAAATGAAAATAGAAAATATAGACAGCACAGAGGGTTTTGATTTTTTTTTTTTAGTAACACTAACCTTATTTAAGGGAAGTAACTGTCTTTTTTTATTCTTAGATGTCTTACCTCTTTTATTGGGTCGTTGGGAAAGTCATGACGTATTTTTCTATGTTTTTCAATACAAAAATGCGTCATGACTTTCCCGACAACCCAATACGTTAAAATGTCCTTTTAATGAAATGATATGAGAGGTTAATAATTTGGGGGTTTTTTTATGTCATTAATTGGCACCTTGATTTTAAGGGGTTATTGAATCCCAAAGATGTGGATCATGGATCTAGCCTTCGATTTAGCTTCCAGAGCTTTCATGTCAGGGGGAACTCGGAGTCTGAACAGCAACCCCAGCTTCTCCCTCCACAGGATCCAGCCGCCGCTACCAGGCGAACGCCGTGCACACCAGCAAGGCCTGTAACATCATCAGCAAGTACACTGCCTATGTGCCTGTGGACATGAGCAGGAGCTGGTACCTGCCCACTGTGGTGGCATACCCCAACTCCGGTAAGGCAGATGGGGGCCAGGGCATGCCTGAGGGCCAAGCAGCCCCCGTGGGCTGGAGGAGGTGGCTGCGACGTAAAGGAGCACAGACCTGCAGGGAGGGGTGCAAGGAAAGCATAGAAGCCAAAAGCCCCCCCAGTGGATGGCTTGTCAGCCATCGGCTGGGAGACACATGCGCCCCGTCCCACTGCTCTGCAGAAGGCTGAGGAATCCCGCTTCCTTATGCCCTCCAAGTGAATACGACCTTACTGAATTTTTCCAATTGGGACAATGATATGTGCTCACTGTAGAAAATTCCAAAATATCGAAAGACAAAATAAATAAAAGTGGCTCGAAATGAC